CCCAAGTTGCACCCATAATCAACGTTGTAGGTGAGCTACCTCAAATCCTAATTTGTTGTACATTGACGAGTATACCCTTCAAAAAAGTTATGCTAAGTGGAAAAATGGAGAGAATGTGGGTGTACATTTGTCCTTGAAATTTGTATTATAAGAATAATTGAATAGATGGAGAGGGGTCGTGATCCCCTGCTACAAAGCCGTAAGAGTGCTTTACCTTGACATTTATATTATAAGAATAATTGAATAGATGTAGCGGGGTCCCTGATCCCCCGCTGCAGAGCAGTAGGAGTGCTTTACTTGAAATTGAGTATCAGTCAAATTGAATAAATGGAGAGGAGTACTGATACCCTGCTGCACAGCAGTAGGAGTTCTTTACTTGACCGTGACATTTGAGTATAAGACAAATTGAATAGATGGAGAGGATCGAACTTGTTATTTAAACAAGTAAAAGTTGTGTCTCGAGTGAGGATAGCATAATTTTTTTGCATATTTATGAAGTTTTGAAAAATTTAAACATCTCAAAAATAGATAAAAAAGTAGGAATTTATCGAATGAATGCTCTCCTTCGTATACGTCAAGAGTCCATCAATAAGAAAGAGATGAAAAAAAATTGAACTCAATTTCTACAATAATGAATATGAGTGCACTTGAAATTCTTACGAGTTATACATTTGTGTATTGATAAGACTATTCACTATTTCTTAAAACTCAATCTCTCTTCCAGATAAAATGTATAGTTAAGAGAAACTATGAATCAGAATAAAAAATTTGCCCCACCTATGAAGAAATATTTTATAGTCTCATTAGATCATACATCTTTTTTGATATATCTAAATAATAAATAAGGGTAAAAATAAAATATTTTAAAATTACAAAGATAATTATTAAATCGGTAGCACCACGTCAAAATAAACCTTTTAAAGTCGCGGCTAATTGGATAGATGGAGTGGAGTCCCTGATTCCCTGCTGCAGAGCAGGCGTGCTTTACCTGAAATTTATATTACAAGAATAATTGAATATATGGACAGTCCCTGATCCCCTGCTGCACAGCAATAGGACTACTTTCCTTTCCCTTGAAATTGAGTATAAGACGAATTAAATACATAGAGAAGAGTCCCTGGTCCCTGATCCCCTGCAGCACAGCAGTAGGAGTGCTTTACTTTCCCTTGAAATTGAACATATGACTACGCCTATCAAAGTCTGATACGATACGATTAATTGACACAAATTGACATGAATTAAATAAGTTTGTGTGAGACCTTAACGGGTTCGGGTGATAAACAGGTTGACCCGTATAATAAACGGATTATATTAGGGTGAGTCATGTCAACCCATTTATCATCCGTATATCCGTTTTAATATAATAATAAATTAATAATTATTTTAAAAAATTAGGCATTTTTTTAAGTGACAGCCACAAATTTTTTTTTAATTTAGTGACAGCCACAAAAATATAATAATAAATTAATATTAAACAGATTAAACGATTCGTGTTCGTGTTAAAATTTTTATCAATTTATTAAATGGGTCATATATGAGTTTACATATTTTTTATTCATCACTCGTTTAACTCGACACGTTTAACACCTATGACAAATCGAATAGACGGAGAGGAGTCCATAATCCCCTACTGCACTATTGCCCTTGAAAGCAATAGGAGTACTTCCTTACTTTCCCTTGGAAGTGCTTTACTTTGGCCTTGAAAGTGCTTTACTTGAAATTTATATTATAAGAAAATTGAATACATAACCAACTATGGTAGCCGTGTTGGCCAGGGCCTCTGACCTTCCAGTGAGAGGTCAAGCGTTCGAAATCTTCTGCACTTAAAAAAGCAGTATTATGATATTTGTTCACAGAATGATCTAGTTTCAGTAGAGCTAGTCTTTCTAAATCCACCACTAGAATCCCCCACCTGGCAAAAAAAAAAAAGTCCTTTTAATCCACCACTATAAATTTCGCAGCAGGCCGCAGAAATCCCCAGCCACCCTCAACTCCAAACGCCGCAGACACCCTCAAATCCCCCCTATTACTATCCTTGCACTACTATCGAAGTCTGATATTCCTACAAATCCCCTGTTACTATCCTTGCATTACTATCCAAGTCTGATATTCCTACATTTCCCTGTACTATCCTTCTACAAACTTAGCTGATTCTTCTTCTTGTTCATGGCCTCCTCAAAACCAATAAGAACGACCCTTCTGAATGATGAGAGAAAGTATACGAATTTTGCTCTAATGTCCGCAGAAGATATTCCTGAGTTTGCTGTCATGATACCAAGTTCGCGAATTTTTGCTAGACCCAAAAAATTGCATATGGCAACATTGAATGACATGTTGGTTGTCTCAATACGATATCCTTTAATAGCTTTTGTTGATATCATTTCTGATGGATAATGAGTTGTTTCCTCTCTTTTAACTTTGAATTCTCTCCTTTAATAGCTTTTGTTGATATCATTTCTGATGGATAATGAGTTGTTTCCTCTCATTTAACTTTGAATTCTCTCTGATCTAATCTTATATGTATGTTAGACATAGCTCATAAGCCTCCATTGAAGGCTCGCCATTAATCTTTAACAGCCTCAACACTACAATTGTAATTGCTGCGTAAATTATATCACACTTTCAAAATATCCTTTGATCCAAGCTCAGTAGGACTGGGCTTCTATTGAAGACTCAGTTGATGACAGCCGTGCTCAAAGTATAGGACTCGGCTGAGAAAAGATTATTGGGCTGCAGAGACAAAGAGGTTTGCCAGTTGGGTTTCGATTTTCAGGTATATTGGCCGGTAGGTAGCAAAGAATTTTTTTCACGTGTTACTGGGTTCTTGACATGGGCCCACTATGAGCTCAGATTCATAAATTTCGGCTTTGGAAATGATTCCTCATAAAAGTTGTCGTATTGTGGAGTTAGTTTAGTGTTTCTGTCAACTGTTGATCTTGACCAAGAAAATACAGAGGACGAGGGCATCGAAAGGGGCCAACTTGGCCTAAACGCTGAGTCCTGTAAATTTCTTGGTATTTCAGCCGGAGATGAGGTTAACATAAAAGTGTAAGTATTTTCAGTAATTATGGATGTTGTGTTAATAAATGCAATTTGTTTGAGGATTTTATGTTATCGTATATGTTGATTTTTTTTTTTTAGGTTTGTTCCACCGTCAAAGGGACTTGATTTGTCACACTTGAGGATTGAGGTGGATTTACTGGATGGAAGTTCAACTCATCAGCCGGTTCTAGCTTCCAACTTGGTGATAGAATTTGTGAAAACATTTAAAAAGCAGGTGATTTTTCTTTTCAATTTGTTATCTGTTTGCTTCAGCTACATCTATCTAATTTATCTTAAATATAATTGTGTCAATATGTAGATTTTTACTGAATTTCAAAGCATCTTGTTGAGATATGGCGGCAATATCTATCACTGCACGGTTGCTGAGGAGAAAAATTCCCCTGCCCCAAAGCGAGGGATGCTCCGCAAGACAACAAAAGTGATTGTGGAGGTTTCTAGTTCTATGGTATACTCACATAACCTGGATATGTTTTGCTCTGTTATATATGTGCAATTCACTCGAGTACATGTTATTCGATACCATATGAAAACAGTGCAAGTCAAATAAATGGGAGGGATTTAGTATGACGTGGGACTTCATTTGTGATTTGTCAAAAAGGTTTGCACACACCAAATATAGCTTGAGGAAAAAAAAATAAGGGTAAATTATATTTGGATCCCCTGACATTTGACTTTATTACACGAACACCCCTCACATTTTAAAAACTACACTAAGACCCCAATAGATGGACGTTGTTAACGATATTAACAAAAAAGACTATTTTACCCTACATATAATTAATTAAAACTTAAAAAAATCAAACCCATTACCCACGTCTCTCTCTACCACAACACTCAGTGGCACAACACCAGCCCTTCATCACCCACACTCTTTCTCCACTCTTACCAATATCCAATATCGACCCCGTCGAAAATCCAAACGCAACAGCGAATCCAACAACCAACACCTCCAAGACTATCTTACCCTATATTTAATTAATTAAAAATTCGAAAAATCAAACCCATTACCCAAATCTCTCTCTCTCACACAGTGAGAAACCTAATACCCAGCAACGCAGCACCAACCCCCCACCATCCCACTCTTCCCCCACTGTTACCAATATCCACTACTAACGTCGTTGTAAATCCAAACGCAATAGCGCATCCAACAACCAACACCTCCAACGCCAAAGAGACCCACCCACAACCGATATCATCGTTTCTCCCAATCTGAATCCCATCACGGATCTGATTCTACACACTAGGTTTTATTGTAGATCTAAAATTGAAGGAGATATTTGTGTTTTCAATATTATTTATTTGTTTAATAGAGAGTATGACATGATAGAAGGGTATTTTGGGTATTATATCAAATTTTGTTGATGATGTCATCTTATTTCGTTATTTATTTGACGTCCGTTAGACTGGAGGGGTGTGACCGTCACACACCTTAAAATATCAAGGGATTTTAGTGTAGTTTTTGAAATGTGAGGGGTGTCTTTGTATTAAAGTCAAATGTCAGGCAATTTAAGTATAATTTATCAAAAAAAAATCGCACATCAAGCTTGTTTTTGGGGTTGGAAGCTGTAAAGATCAATTCTCCATGAGACTTCCTTCCTAAGCCTATCAAGTACCCATTGGCGTTCCCCTGTTTTGCACTGAGGGGGTCTTACCACTGGCCTTCCTGTTTTGCGAGGATTTCACTTGCTATGACTTCCATAGTTTACAGATGTTCGTAGTTACATTAAGGGTTTATGTGATTTATCTATAATGCACGTCACAAAGAACAAGACATGAGATGCTTTCAACTTCCTTTTATTGAGCTCCGAGCATTCATTGTATATTCCAGTGCTAGAAATTCTATGGACAGTTCTAGATTTATCTATGTGGCTAACTTGACCATGACATAATAGTAAGGTCATATGTTAGGAGGGTGATCGTCTTAGATTTTATTCTTACACCTTCAAGAAAAATGAGAAGACGACAAGCAAAATTTGAAGCTCGTTTATTTTCTTAGTAATTGTATAGAAGAGGGTTTTGGTGTCCCCATCTTTTATGATTCTTTTAATTTTCCAAACCTTGTTATTTTTTTATTTCTCTGGTTCCCTTAAGTGAGCAACCAAACATGTGTGAACATTTGATTTTTTAGCCAATGTAAGCACTGCACCTATTTACATAGGATTTTTTTGATGTACATATCCTTTTGTATGGTAAAAGTCTAGGTTCAAATTATGCAAAGTAGGCAAATGAAGCGAAGGTTGAAAATCATGCAACACTATTACGTTTCTATAATTTAGGTAATTTTGGTAATAGGGGGTTAGTGTTTTTCTTTTTTTTTTTTGCAATTTATTCTAAAAAAAATTAATAACACGTTTAGAATGTGTTTACATTTTTTTTTACTGTCCCATCTTAAAAATAAGATTAAAATATAAAAACATTAAAAATAATACTTTTAAAAACATCAAAAAAAAAAAAAAATACACGATCCAATTAATGAGATCTTACCTTCTTGTTAACACTAATATCTAGGTCTTTTAGTTGAATGTATAAAAACATTTTCCTTTCTTTTTCTCTCTTTTCGTCATCTGTCCCTGTCTCTGTCCCTGTCTCGCTGGTTTCTCTCTTCTGAAACCGATGCCGAAGTCTCTCTCGCTGGTTTCTCTCATCTGAACCGAAGCCAAAGACGCAGAAATGGAATATTAAATCGAAGATGAAGACGAAACCCACTTCGTCTCTCTCATATATATATACACACACACATAGATCTACATCGGTGGTGAGGGTGGGTTTCGGTGGTTGGGGGTGGTCAGTGGGGTGGTTGTGGTGGTGGTTTTCAGTGGTGGGGGTGGGTTGTGGGTTTCGGTGGTGGGTTTCGGTGATGGGGTTGGGTGGTCAGTGGGGGTTGGCGTGGTGATTTTGGGTGGTCAGTGGGGTTGGGTGGTGATTTTTTTGTTATAATACCGATAGATTTTTTATTTTTGTTTTCACAATTTTTTATATTTAAAAAATTGATTATCTAACATATTTTATATTTTTAATTTTTCTGACGAAAAAAACAAAACTTAATTCTGTTTTTTTTTATGAAAGAAAACATAAAAATAAAAATGTTACCAAATAACAGCTGGATTGTTTACATGTTGTATCTCATCAACTGATTTGTGTTCCTGACATAACCAACTGGTATAAGGAGCTACCTAAGTGTGTTTGTTTGTTTTTCACGACAACACTCAATTCATTTGACATCGACTTTTCTCAACAATTTGGGGTCTGTTGTATTGATCCTATTTCGCCAAATCATAGGCTATCATCTATAGTTAATGTCAGTCCACTTTGTTTTATTCTTGGTGTAAAACAGTATATCTTTAGGAGTTGAATATCATGTTGTGGAATAATGTGTATAAAACTTGTCATGATTGACCAGAGCGGACAGGTCATTGGAGCCGAAATAATTAAGAGCATTTTTCGTGATGGTTTCGACATGACTTCTCTGGAACAAGAGCTGATATCTCTAAACATAGGGGGGATGACCTCACAGATCCGTGAAATTGTTCGCCTTGCATTTGGCTCCCGAATGGTATCACCCGCCACTGCAAAGAAGTAAAATTTGATTTCACAGTCTGCATACGTTTTTTTTCCTCTTTCTTGGTGTTGGAAAGCATATGTTAGATACATTTATCTTACTAAACAATGAAGCTTGTGGGACCTCAAATCCCCCTATATGTGAAATATTAAAGATCATAATTGTTCAGGCTGAATTTTGTAGCAGCATCAGTAGTAGTATTAGCAGTAGAATGAAGTAGTATCAGAATTGTAGAAATATATTAGGGAGACTAAGCTCTTTAGAGAGTTGGACTACATTTTTATTTACTTCACTCTCCTTAAATATTGGCAAGAAAAAACATATTCTATTCTTGTTTTATTGTGTTAGCTTTGGATTGATTGACAACTTAGGAGGTGACAACTACCAAAGAGATTGTAGTTTTCCACTCAAACATTTAGGCATCAGATGCCTTCAGTTTTTCAAAATTCACTTTCTTTGGTCTTGAAGATCATGGGAGTCGGGGAAGACCCTTAATGGGGTGCTGCATTCAAAAGGTTGTTTTTAGGGTTTTAAATTCTGACATAAACAATTTGCGATGTAGAAATGTAGGTTCGAGTAATCGGCCTTTGTGACTATAATTCGGTCTAGACTTGCGTTTATTCTTATGATATTCCTTGAATGCACTTAATTGCACATGTTTGCTTCTTCTTCCCTGAGTTTCCTCTGCTAGAGAATTGTTTAACAAATTTTTACCAATGCTGTTTACGGATTGTTTAATAAATTTTTACAATGCTTTCTGGTACCATGTTGTCTAAAAGGTCAATCTTCTTTAGTAACCCAAGTTCTTTCGTTAATCATGGAAATTATTCAATTCTAGGTTGAATCTAAAGCACATAAAAGGGATGCTGCTGTATGGTCCACCAGGCTCTGGGAAAACATTGATTGCTCGAAGTATTTGCAAGTTACTAAATGCAAAAGAGCCCCTGGTATCTCTCTCCCTTTCTACCTACTCCTCGTCTCTCCATCCTCTCTTTCTTACACACACAATAACAATAATAGCCAATGAATTTCAAAATCTTGTCTTACTCTAACTTTTCACTTTTTACCCTTTTAGATTGTACGTGGACCAGAAATCACACAAGAATTGTATGGTGCATCTGAGAGGCATATAAGGGCACTATTTGATGCTGCTGAGAAAGATGAAAAACAATATGGTAAAAATAAGATACTTAATTTTCATAAGAAATTTATTCAATCTTCTTACACATCATACTGAGTTCCTGTTATTCTTTCGTCAGGTTCTAAAAGTGACTTGCATGTCATTATTTTTGATGAGATAGATTCCATTGGAAAGGTAAGCAGACATGTGCAATGATTGTTCTTTTCTAGCCTCATGTGGTCTAGAATTTGTCTTGGATGTATGTTTCACAATAAGGGAAAGAACTTTTTATTTTGTATGTATAAACAACAAGGTGTTTGAAATCTCGTGAGTCATTTTGGTTGTGTGCAGAAAAGAGGAGCAGCTGCTGGATCCTTCCAACATGATGATAAGATTGTGAATCAATTGTTAACGATGGTCAGATTCTTAATTTCTTTTCAGGTTTTGCATTTCTTTCTAGTTTTTGTGTCCTAACCTGAGCAGCAATTGATGTAAATGTTTAGATTGATGGCACAACAGAACTGAACAACATCTTTATTATTGCGACAACAAACCGAAAGGACCTCCTCGATGAAGCCCTCCTTAGGTAACTTTCTCTCCTTCCTCTTTTTTTACTTGATTAGAATCAATGGATGAATCCGAGGTAATTTTAATAGGTTTCAAAATTCATTTGACCTGAAAATGTTTGTCTTGCAACACCTTAAGCATAAGACCACCATCCTCTTTCTTCCCTTCCTTTCCCCAATGAACATGTTGGCAAAAATTTATGGATGGCCTGTATTTGAGATTTATGGCTAGGATGCATTATCTATTGAAAAGGGCTATTTCTAAATAATCTTATGTTTTTCCTCTTTCGGTAAATAAAACAATTGAATTGACTGATATACATAATGTACGAAACAGGGGAATCCCAGACAGTCACATAAAGAAAGCTATAGTGTATAATGTCAGGTGTTAACACAAATTTGTAGGACTAACATACATACATTACACTAAACAAATTTGCTCTATAGGAAACATCATAGAACAAACCTAGGCAGGAAAAAAAAGGCCAAGTTATGGTCATTACTTTTGTATACAAAAGCAAGAGTTCTAGCAACTGGCAATCTTGAATCAGAGGCCTGTTGTAATTGAAGGCATTGTCTTTGAGCTTCAGTGATGCATTTCAGGTATGAATCTATTGACAATTCCTTTTTGAATTGTGTATACATCTTTGAACTCTTTTCTAAAAATTCTGTAGTTCATTTCCCTCCATAATGCATTAACTGTTATTGTTGTTTTCATCTGCGTATAATGCCAGTCACTTTTAGATGTTAGGATACTGTGGTTAAATTTTCGTGGCTAAGGCTTGATATATGTGTTTCTGTAACCAATGGGCCTTTGGTCCAATGGTACTCCTTGTCTTGTGAAAATTTTGCCTTCTTGAGGTCAAGGGTTCAAGTCCCCCTTCCCCCTCCCCTCCCCTCCCCCCAAAAAAAAAAAAAAAATAATAATAATAATAAAAATGTGTTTCTGTGCATATCCGCACATATGAAAAAGAGTATAGGATAAGGTATAACGTAAATATTGTTTATAATGGAAATTAGAAATCTATAGGAGCAAGATAGTGGATTATTGAAGAATTCTGCACCTTGAATTATCTGTGCTGTCAAAAGGCTTCCCCCCCCTCCCAAAACAAAACAAAAAAAAAAAACCTATTTTTGTTGTGTGCAGTATGTACACTGCAATTAGTTGTGAGGTCTTCTCTTTTACATTGTTGAGTAATATTTGTATTTGTTTTTCTTTTCTATATACCTTCTGGTGATTATTATCTGATAGTATTTATCATTTGCTTCTCTTTGCTTAATCAAGAATATTGCTGTCTACTGTCAACTTGATAAGACTAGACCAACATGAATCTAAGATTAGTAACAAACATTATTTAATTGTTTCTACAAGCATCATTTTAACCTGCTGGTTTGCACCAGATAATTTTTAGTTCATAAGGGAAGGCAATATTGACTTAAAACTTGATTATCAAAATCATGATTTAGGATGTCATGATTCTACCATCCAATACTGGCAAAGCCATTTGAGTCTCTAAAGGTCCTGGCTAATAGAATCTTTTTGATTCCAATCCCAATTACTATTTTTTATCACCGCAAGTTGTCAGATTTTTTTTCTTAGGCAATTGTAGTCATTTACGTTTACCAATCCATATATTAGTGATTGTCCTACACTCTTTTCAGTCCATTAGGTTATTTCAGCCAGTGAGAAAACTACCAAAAATTTTTTTCATCACAGAAAATGCTCTTCGGTCGTTTATCTCCCTCATTGAAACAAACAGTTAGCTTTGTTCACTTTTCTCTCGACGAGTGATTATGACTAGATATGTTTTCCATTATTATTCTCATTTTTATTTATTCGATATCGAACCATCAAAATTGTTTATTCAAGAGTCGCTCGACTTTACCAATCTCTCCTTTATCCTCATCTCTCTCTCCATGCTAAGATCGAAATACTCCAATTCTCATTTACTCTTCACAGAATCCCACAAGATTAACTACTCATTTTTTTATTTTCAATGCTCTTTAATACTCAGATTATAGGTGCTCAAATTTTAACCGTACTTCTAAGTTCTATATGTTTGTCGTAACATCTCTACATTTTGCATATATACTAGGTTTATTTTGTCTTGATTTCTAAGAATTTTGTATTCGTAAATATATTTTTAGTTCCATTTTTCAGTACGTAAGATCACAGGATTCTCAATCTGATCTTACGATCTCAATCCTTTAGCCTCTTTCATTGATCCAAGGTAGGATCCCCTAGTAGATTATTTGTATCGAAATTTGGAATTGTACTTAGTTATAATCCTACACAAACAAAGTTGCTTTAAAGTTAATGATGAAAAGTCAAATAAGTTTAGTTGTCACTCTTTACCCACTTAACGTATATGCATGTTAACTTTTCTTCAAAAACCACCTAAACAAATAATTAACATGTGACTGATCAATTACGTTGTTTATAAATAATCACTAACTTGGTTCATCATAATTGCTCGTAATCCTCCACCCCCAAGCCCAACAAAACAAACATATGCACCCAAAAAGACGAAAAAGGCTCCATCATTCCTTTAATTTTGTTTATTTTTATTCCTAGGGATGGTAGAATCGAACTCCATATCAAGATAGACTATCCTGATGAGCAAGGGCGCAAGCAAATTTTGGATGTTTGCACAAGGAAATGGAAACAAGCTTCTCTCCTTGATATAGATGTTGATCTACAAGAAATAGGTATCTACAAGAAATTGTTGATCTAGATTTTGTTGTACAGAACCTCGTTCACTAATGAAAACTGTCCATCACTGTTCAATATATATAATGTCTCGGTTCTTGCATACAGCTCGCAGGACCATTGGATATAGTGGTGCTGCACTTGCATCCCTTGTGACACGTTCCCAGTCGTATGCTAATGGAGAACATGTGACTTTACACCCAATGAGGCCTGTCAAAATGACCATGAATCATTTTCTCCGTGCTTTAGAATGTGGCAGACTCAAACTTCAGGAGTCTAACCAACTCAGGTGAAGAACTTTAGGAATAGTTTCATATAGTTGAACAATCATTCATATTGAATCTTCCAGTACCAACTTTACATTAATTTTTCAATGAGATAACTTTTCATTCATTGACATCAGGCAGAACACATGTTTAATCTGCGTAGATCTCATAATATCACATATTGAATACATGAGAATAATTTCATCTAGCAGCAAAAGGCTTCACAAGGACATGGATTTTCATTTCATAGACATCTTGGGCATAAAATTCTGCTTATCTGAGTTGCTTTTTCATGTATCAAACCCTGCTAATCATTCACAAGTATTATAATTTCTTATAGTTGAACAATCATTTATATTGCTTTTTTTAGTACACAGAATGTTTCGAGTACTATACCTTCGTTATCCATGTTACTACAAAAAAATGAAAAATTCAAATACCACTTACTATTTCAAAAATTTTGTAGACCTAAAACATGAAACAGGGTACCAAATTTTGACCACCCTCTTTAACTCATCTCCGGTGACCACATTTACCAGCCTTCCCTTTTCCTGCTGACTTAATTTTTTTGTGTTTGGGATGAAAGTACTTTCAATGAACTGACCAAACCTTTTTTTTTAAATTACATGAGGCCCATGTTCAATTTGAACTTGTTTTGAGAAATAGGTTCGTTTTTAAATTTCTATCTTTGGGCATTTGATATCCTTCCTTGAATAATTGGATCTTACAGCTTGTAAAACAAAAAGATTGGAGGAAAATGGATGACCTGATTGCATGATGACTTTGAATTGCTTTCATTTATAATATCCTTGCCTATTTAAGGTCCAAGGTAAAATAATTCCACTAGACTGAGGGTGACTAGGTATCAGTTGGATTATCTTGTAGTTAAGGAAAAGCATGCTTGCTAAACTTACATGAATTTACTTGTCTAGGAATAAGTGCCCTGTATTATTCTACATAAAATTCACAAACTCTATTATTCTCCTACATAGGTCAAATAAAAGGAAACAAATTCTGCTTTGGAAGGCAAAACTGAGATCGAATTGTCCGAACATTTTTCTTTTGTTCCCACATTTATTCCACATGTTGAACTTGCATATCTCCTTGAGATAACTGCATGCATTAGTTTCATTTCGGGAGAAAAATCCCATAATTTTCGTTTGGAGAATGCAATGGTGGTTCTACTTTTAATCCTGATCAGTTTATTATCTTCTTATCTAAATTTCAGGGTGGAGAAGGCAATGGTTGTTCTACTTTTAATCCTACTTTTAATCCTGATCAGTTTTATTATCTTCTTATCTAAATTTCAGGGTGGAGGAAGAACAAACAGTAAGCACTTGTTTCTTATTTTAAATCAGTAAAGGGCCTTTGAAAAGTGTTTCTTATTTCATGGAAAATGCTATTTCAACCCTAATTTGGAGACGTAATTCAATATAACCATTGAATTGAAAGTGGATTTCACCTGACATTGGAACTCACAACTAATCTAATGGTTGCATTGAATTAGGTCCAAATTAGGTCCTGTAGCATTGTTCTTTATTTCACTTACATGTATTTCTTGTCGTTTTGCTTTGCAGCCGCAGTTGAGCTCCACCGATATACTAGAATTTCTGAAGGTTGCCCACTCTTTAGCCAAATTCAAGAAGAAAATCGTAAGTTCTCACTAATTGCGATCATCTTTTATAATTGCTTCCTAATAGTGGCTTGAACAATCAATGATGTCATTACAGAAGACAGTTGAGGGTGCCCTCTTTTCTTACGTTCTAACCAATTACAATAATCACTCGTAATTGCCTCATAATTGTGGTTGTAATCTGTAACCGTGTCATTACAGGAGGCACATCCACTTGCAGACCTTGCTTCTTTTGACGAGGATAAGGCCAAGCTCAGTTGTTGAATGCGTTAAGCAGGAACTTGGGAAGTTCAACTGAATCTAGAAATGAGAACTTTTCAACAACTGAGCTTTGTCAATAGGATTCTCTTTTTTCCTTGTACGAGGCTTGTTTTTTTTTTCTTGTATTTCATGTTTTGCTAGTCATGTCACGTAACTTTATGAACGTGTATGTGGAAACTCAAATTGGTGGTTGAGAATTTTGAACATCAACACGTATCTATAAACTCGACAAACAAGATTGAATTTACTGGTTTTGCATTGCTATTAGAAGGTACTTTTAGTAGTCATTTCATTGGGAAATGTGTCCAATCTTTCTAACCCAGGAATTATTTGTTGGCAACCACTTGTGTGATGTGTATTTGATATCTGGGTTGCGGCTGCACTGAACTGAAGCTTGGGGTTTGTGCTTTATGCAAGCCCAGGGTCACCTTGGACTAGCTCAGTGGGCCCCAGTGTAAATGTGATATTGATGAATACAAATATTGTATTTTGTTCAAGAGATTGACAGGAGTTAGACCAAACGAGATTACCTATTGTGGGTGTTCTTTCAGCTTGTACCAATGCTGGGATGATTGATAGGGATTGGCTTATTTTGAGATGATGAAAAAGGAACATAGAATCAAGCCAGTGATTGATCATTATTTGTGTCTGGTTGATATGTTCATTTGGGTGAGGCCGATTAGATGAAGCTTTTGATTTCATCCAGAAGATGAATTTTGAGCCCAGTAAGTTTATATGTGCAAACCTTCATTGCAAGTTGTCGGAGTCATGGGAATTCAGAGTTAGGATTGTATGCAGCTGAATGATTACTCGGTCTTAAACCAAAAGACTAAGAAACTTATCTATTGCTGTTAAAGATGTACCACTTGGCAGGGAGATGGATGCCAGGAATTTTCAAGGGTTATAAAAAATGATGAGAGGGGAAAAACTCTGAAAATTAATGGATTAGCATTAGAGATGAGGTTTATTCAGTTAAGCCTGATGAGCGGTTGCATACACAATGCAAAAGGGTGGACAAATTATTGGGGAATTTGCTTGAGAAAGCAAGGACTCTTGGATATGAACCACATGGAAGTTTAGAGGTAATGAATGAGGAGAATGTAGAAATAACTTTATTCACTGTTCATCATAGTGAAAAGTTGGCTCTTGCGTTTGGTTTGTTGAACACTCCAAATGCTGCCCCTATATGGATTATTAAGAGTATTATGCCATAATTTTATGAAATTCATCTCCATTTTAATTGAAAGGGAATCATCATTCGAGATAGTGAGTGCCTGCACAAATTTGTCAACGGCCAATGTTCATGCATGGATTTTTGCTGTCTTCTTTGATATCATTTGAACCCAAGCCATGAGCTGGCTAATTCCTAATGTGGTAATCCTTTCACCTTTTAAGTGGCCATAAAATTTTGTTGTATCTAATTTTTTGATGTTTAGAAAAAAATTTATTCTCTGCCATTACTATTTAGTTAAGTTTATAGACTACAGATGTTTTAGCATTGGTGTTCTGGCGTACGACAAGTGAAAGAATTCATGTGGGTCTTGGTTGAATTGAGTTTCTTTAGAAAATTCAACAAAATGGACAATATAGTCAAAACTGAAACAAGAAGTAGGTCTGGATATTTATATCGTTTTGAGGTTGATCAAAAAAACTTAAAGTGGAATATAGTTTTTTTGTAATCAATGCATTGATTTATTTTAACTTTGGTAACTGCTCAAGACAACATTTATTTGTGAATTTTTTGGCTCGATAGCTTTATACTCAGTCGGATAATATTTGTAGTGACTAAGGTAATGTTTAGGATAACTATGAGATCCAAAAAGTACTTCTTAAGGTAATGTTTAGGATAATTATGAGATCCAAAAAGTACTTCTTAAGAGAATAGAAGTAATTTAAGGTGGTGGCTTTACCTGGTTTACAATAAATCTTCACAACTGTAAAAAAAAGTGCCGGAGTTGTAGTAGAAACTGCAGCAGGTTATATATATTTACTCATATGAGATGGTGCACTGCAGTGGAGGGAGGGAGGGAGGTACCTCCATTACCAAATGAAATGACAAACATACCCTTCTTAAAAGCAAGGATGGGAAGAAGAATGGTGTGGAATACAATTATATTTTTGTCCTTGGAGTTATAAATTAGCAACAGTAGTTTGAGACTAGTGAGACAGCTTCCTGTCTTCCACAATATTTTTGACATCAACCCTAGACTATTATTACTGTTTTTATCTTCTTTCCCTAGCTAGCTTGTATCTCTCACTCCACACTCACAGTCATTATTCCTGCATAGGAAATAGAATGAGAGTCATTGTTCTCAAAGAAGGAAAAACCTATACAAATTTGGGTCTCATTTCTGCAGAAGATATTGTCAATTTTGTTGTCATGATATTCAACTTAAGGACTTTCGTTGGATCCAATAAGCACTCTATGGTAAACATTGAATGATATGTTGGTTGTGCCCCTACTATATCTTTTAATAGTAACTTTTAACTTGAAGTTGGTATTTGTGTGTGAAGAATATAAAATCAGAGTGTATAGTATATAAACATAAATCATGTTTAATTAAGTTAATGTCCTATACAATTAAATTTGTATCAATTTATTTATCAAAAAAGTTTGACGGGTTAACTCGCTTGTGACCCAAATCCAATAAAACTAATAAATATATGGTATTTTCACTTCAAATTTGACTGATCATGTTAAGAATTTTCACATCCTATTTGAATGTAGGGCCATATCTAAACTTTGATCATGTTATTATCAAATATGAGTAAATCCTAAATTGACGAAAAATTGAAAAAAAAATTAATGGGTACATGAATCTTATATGGTATAGGGAAAAAGAAAAATATAAAATCAGTAGGAGATTGGTATCTTTACAAATTTTTTTTTACTGTTATACATGTTTTCCATGAGATTTTAAGGCAAATGGGTTTATTCCTTCACATAGAAAATTTAATTCTTAAAAATAAAAGAGTAATGTTTTTTGAACTTAAATTTTAATCTAATTTATTAATATAATAATGTAGTTTCAGTAGAATTATTTGATTAACACCAAGTTTTAATATTTGATAGACCCCACAGTCAATCCAAAAGTTATAGTGAATTAAATCAACAAATTAGATCAATAAATAAGGTTTCAAAAGCATTGTTCAAAATTAAAAGGGTTGACAATTGTAAAAAAAATTTGGTGCCCAATTATCAATTGTCACAATATTAGCTTGGGGGACAAAAAAATATATTTTTTTATTAAAAAAATTGACCAAATAATAAATGACAGTCATATATTCAGATTGTGTAATCTATTATAATAATAAGATAGAGTAATTTTTGAATCCCTAAATTACTTTACCACAAAGACAGTTTAAATTTGATCTATTTTAATTTTAACGATTTATATTTCATCTAATTTAATCTAATTACTCGTAAATTCATCTACTTTTAATCCAACAAAAAACAAATCCCGCCCAAATCTTAAACCACATGCACGTCCCCCCACCCCACTGTCAGAGCCCCTCTATCTCTTCACCTGTCTCTCTGTCTCCACACCCGTTGCGACTTCTGTACCTCTCCACACCCTGCTCTCTCTCTCTCTCTCCATACTTACTAAAATATCTGCCTTGGCTCACCGGCGACGACCACACATTACAGGTTAGCTACTCTCTCTCTATGTCTCTCTCACCTCTCTTTCTTCACACACACACACACACACACAAACAAACCCACAACACAAAACACACAGATCACGCAGAAACCCACAACACGGGCACACAGATAACGCACACACAACACAAAACACACAGAGAGACAAACAGACCACACACACATCCCACAGCAGCACGCACACACGCAAATTAATTTGGATTTTTGAATGTTAGGGTTTTCAAATTGTGTGTTTAATTTGGGTGTTGAATAGAGATTGTGAAATTTCAAATTGGTTTTTTTTTTTAAATTATGAAATAGGTTTATAGTGTCCTGATTGGATGAATGTTAAGAGTTATTTAGATTAAGATTGTGTATTAATTTATTTTACTTCCACAATTTTAGAGATTGTGTGTCAATTAGTGTGAAATAGACTTATAGGGTCTTCATTTGATGTATGTTAGGGTTATTTAGATTAAGATTGTGTGTTAATTGAATGTTATGTGTTAATTTCATTCAATAAGATTTGTAGGGTTTTTGGATGTTAGGGTTTTTGTTAATCGCATGGAATGGATGTTGAGTTGATGGTTATTGAGGGTTCATTTTGGAAAATTTGTTGACTAATTTTTTTTCAAATTGGGTTTTTAATTTTGGTGTTAAATAAGGTTTAGAAATTTCAAATTGGTTTTTTTTTTTAATTATGAAATAGGTGTATAGGGTCTTGATTTGATGAATGTTTGGGTTATTGAGATTAACATTGTGTGTTAATTGATTTTACTTTCATAATTTCAAAGATTGTGTATTAATTGATATGAAATATGTTTATAAGGTCTTGATTTGATGTATGTTATGGTTATTTAGATTAAGATTGTGTGTCAATTGAAGTTTACGTGTTAAGTTCATTCAATAAGATTTTTATTTTTTTTGGATGTTAGGGTTTTTGTTAATTGCATTGAATGGATGTTGAATGTTCATTTTATAAAATTTGTAGGCTAATTGTAGTTGTTGAATTTTTTGATAGTAATTGAAAATTATTTAGTAAGAAATTGAATGTTAAGGTTTTTAAATTGGTTTTCCTTTCATGAAATAGGGTTTTTGAATTGAAATATGAAATTGGGTTTTTTTGAAAGAGTTTTATATGGTTTTGATTGAATATATTTTAAAAGGTTATTTTGATTGAGATTCTGTGACGAAGATTGTGTGTTTGAGTTATTAGCGTTTTGATTGAATCTATGTTATGTTTTTTATGAAAGAGATTTGTAAGGTTGACATTTGATGCTTATTCATTTGGGTTTAGATTGCTTTGGATTGTGCAATAGATGTATCAAAGGTTGTCCAGGTCCCTCTCTTTGTGCTTCTCTAA